CCCACGGCACACTCTCCCCGCCTGTCCCTGCTCTCTAGTACCCAGCCCCGCACGGCCCTCCCCACGGCACACTCTCCCCGCCTGTCCCTGCTCTCCAGGGCCAAGCTCCGCACAGCCCTCCCCACTGACACACTCTCCCTGCCTGTCCCTGCTCTCCAGGACCCACCCCTGCACAGCCCTCCCCACTGACACACTCTCCCCCCCGCCTGTCCCTGCTCTCCAGTACCCAGCCCTGCACAGCCCTCCCCACGGCACACTCTGCCTGCCTGTCCCTGCTCTCCAAGACCCAGCCCCGAACAGCCCTCCCCACGGCACGGCCCTCCCCACTGACACACTCTCCCTGGAGCCACACTCCCTCTGGCTCCGGTCTGCTTGCCCCGCTCCCCTGCACTGCCAAACCTGGCCCTGACCCCTCATCACTGGCCCCCTCTCCACCGGGCTCCACCAGCCTCTCCAGTGGGATTTCAGTCACCAACACCCCTGGGGGCACGTCTGGCCCCCTTCTCTCCATCACACAGGGAGTGTGTCTAGTCTCCCTCTTTCCATTACAGGGCAGGGGGTGCAGGTGGGGGGGTCTAGCCCCCCTTCTCTCCACTACCCCCAGGGGGCATCCAGCCCCCCTTGGCCTTCCCCTGTACCTGCCTCAGCTGCTCCTCTCACAGCAAGGCCTGCTCCTGGGCCAGGGCACGGAAGCCCAGCCTAGAACCACACTCAACCCCAAGGCTTCGAACACCTCTGCTCCCCCATCCCCACACTCACCTGTCCAACTCCAGGAGGCTGGTACCGGCCTCAGTACCCAAGATCACTCACACTGTTCCTCACCCTTCTCTCCTGTCCTCCCCAGCCTCTGCCGCGTGGCACCCTGAGGTGCTCAGGCTCAATCCCTGTAGCTGGCCTGCTGCTCTTTTGCTTCTCAACCCCTCGAACCCAGCCAGTCCTCCAGCATCACCACCGCTGCCACGCCCTCCCTAAAGTCTCAGCCATCGCCATCCACCCTGGGACTGCCACAACAATCACCAGCGACCGCCTCAAAATTGTATTGGAGTATGAATTGTTTTAAAAAAAAGTCAAGGCTGGTGCAATGGCTCACCTGGGCAACATGGCATCTCTCCAAAAAATACAAAAAATTAGCCAGGCATGGCAGCACATGCCTGCAGTTCCAGCTCTCGGGAGGCTCAGGTGGGAGGATCACTTGAGCCCAGGAGGTTCTGGCTGCAGTGAGCCGAGATCATGCCACTGAACTCTAGTCTGAGTGATAAAGTCTTATTTCTAACAAAAAAAAAAAAAAAAAAAAAAGTCATTAAATACTGCCAGAAAGAAGGGGAAACTTGGATGCAATAAATAACAGTCAATAAAGTAACCAGTAAAATATATACTTAAATCTAGTAATTACGGTTGCTTGATGGGAGGAGTGAGAACCACCTGGAACTGGGGTGGCACATACAGCCTCCATCCAGGGAGCGTGGCACACAGGACCCGTCAGCGCTCAACAGTTACACAAAGAGGGGCTCCCATGTCTGTCTCTAAAACTGGAAGATGGGCCAAGGACAGTGGCTCACAATTGTAAACCCAGAGCTTTGGGAGGCTGAGACGGGAGGATGACTTGAAGCTAAGGGTTCAAGACCAGCCAGGGCAACATAGTAAGACCCCATTGCTACAAAATTTTTAAAATTAGCCAGATGTGGTGGTATGCGCCTACAGTCCCAGCTACTCGGGAGGCTGAAGTGGGAGGATCACTTGAGCCCAGGAAGAGGTCAAGGCTGCAATGAGCCGTGATAGTATCACTGCACTCCAGCCTGGGTGACAGAGCAAAGCCCTGTTTCTAAAAAATAAAAGAAAAAATGGAAACATATCCCCTAGAATAATAGTAAGAAAACAGTGAGAAAGCCTAACAAATTAAAAAATAAATAGGCCCAAATTCCCGCTTATCAATAATCACAACTGTAAATGACTACTCTATAAAAAGACTTTTAGATTGAGTTAACAATATAACCATAAAATATGAAAAGGCTGAAAATAAGGAGATGAAGAAATAAGACTTTAAATAGGACAAAAAGGGGCTTCTCATGCGGGTAACAGGAACACTTATGCATAAACAGCATGGCCTTGATTTGAAAAGCAAAACCTGGACATCCGAGCAGGAATGGGCGCCTCTGGAGGCACAGCGGGAGGCCGGCTTACCCTTCTCAGAAACCATCGACCGAGGGCCTGACAGGAAGCTAGGAAATAGTCAGGTCTGCTGACCAACACAAGCAAGCAAGTGCCCGCTGCGGGTGATAACAATGTAACCAAGGAGTGGTGAGGACACATTCTTCTCAGGCCACACTGCAACATTCACAGAAAGGGACCGTGTTGGCCACAGTGAAGTCTCAAAGGATTCCAAAAAGCGGAACACCTTCAGAAACCTTACCATTACACCTTAATGCAGTCAAATTTTAAAACAACTACAAAAAATTAGCTCCCCTACCCCCATCTGTGTGCATTTAAAAATCTGTTGATACCCTTTTAAATAACCACAGGGTTAAAGGGGGCATCAAGGCTGGAATTACAAACGACTCAGAAATGAACAGCAACAAGAGCAGAGAGAGGCAGGTCCATGGCACGTCGCCAAGGAACAGAAGAGCCACAGTCTCCGTTGTCGGGTTAAGGAACACGCCAGGAACCAGAACTACAAGAAAAAACCCAAGAAAGTGAAAAGATGTGAGGGTTAACGAGCATAAACAACTCAGAGACAGGAAGGCCTGGCTGTTTGGAAAAACCTGTAATGGCGACAAACTTCAGGAAGTTTAACCAAGAGGAACAGAGAGAAGAAAAGCGACATCAGCTCCGATAACTACAAACAGCTTCAAAATTCCGAGAGATGGCCTGGTACAGTGGCTCCCACTGTCGACAGCATGGTAGCAGAAAGCCCGTCTCTACTAAAAACACAAAAAGTAGTCAGGTGTGGTGAGAAGTGCCGGTACTCCCAGCTAGGTCGGAGGCTGAGGCAGAATTGCTTGAACCCGGGAGGCAGAGGTTGCAGTGAGCTGAGATGTCACCACTGCACTCCGGCCTGCGCAAAAGAGTGAGATGATGTCCAAAAAAGTAAAATTCCAAGAGAAAAGTAGTATACAATTTCAACCTGAAAATCCAAAAATCTAGATTTGATCTGAAAATCTAGATCAACGGTATTCAGTGGCACGCCCCTCCCCAGGAGGCAATCGGAAATGCATGTGACGGGCTTTTTGGTCATGCTAGTGGCTGCTGCCCTGGGGATCAGGGAGCCCTGCAACCTTGTCTACCGTATACTTAGTGACAAACACTGATCCAGGTGAAATCAACAATGTGGTAGGAAAATGGTTTTCCTATGTACACAACAGGCAAAAGAAACCATCCATCATATGTAAACAACATCTAGAAACCAATTTTAAGAAGTACTTAACAGTAAAATGGAGGGGGCAGGGAACAGAAAACAGAGCTAATAAACATATAAAAATTACAAAGGAAAACTTTTGTTTTGAGACAGGGTCTCACTGTGACCTGGGCTGGAGTGCAGTAGTGCGATCACAGCTCACTGCAAACACCTCCCAGGCTCAAGCTATCCTTCTGCCTGTCTCCCAAGCAGTTAGGACCACAGGCATGCACCACGATACTGGCTTATTTTAAAATTATTTACAGAGATGGGGTCTCCCTACGTTGCCCAGGCTGGTTTGAACTCCTGACTCAAATCATCTTCCCTCTTCAGCCTCCCGAAGTGCTGGGATTATAGGCATGAGCCACTGTGCCTGCCTCACACACCAAATTTTTAATAGCAACAAGAAATAAAACTTGGGAGATGCGTAAGAAAATTTTTACCACTTTTTAGTCTGTATTTCTGCAGTTTAAATTTTTGCAACAGAGAAAGTACTGTATTTTTTTTTTTGAGACAGAATCGTGTTCTGTCGCTCACACTAGAGCGCAGTGGTACCATCTTGGCTCACCACTACCTCCACCTCCCAGGGCCAAGCTATTCTCTGGCCTTCACCTCCCACGTAGCTGGGGTTACAGGCACGCGCCACCACACCTGGCTAAGAATGTATTGTATTTCAATAGATGTGTATGGCTTTTTTTTTTTTTTTTTTTCCATCGTTTTGTTTGTTTTTTTTTTTTTTTTTTTTTTGAGACAGAGTCTTACTCTGTCACCCAGGCCAGAGTGAAGTAGTGCAATCTTGGCTCACAGCAACCTCTGTCTCCCAGGTTCAAGCGATCCACCCACCTCAGCCTCCCCAGTAACTGGGATTACAGGCGTGCACCACCCTACCTAGCTAATTTTTGTATGTTTTTCGTAGAGATGGGGTTTCACCATATTGGCCGGGCTGGTCTCAAACTGCTGACCTCAAGTGATCTGCCCACCTCAGCCGACCAAAGTGCCGGGATTATAGGTGTGAGCCACCAAGCCTGGCCTCAATAGATGTTTTAATTGAATAGATGTTAAAATAATTATTCATGTTCATGATGATTTAACTTCAAGAATATTCATCAGAACGTAAACAGAAAGAATTCCTCATGATTTTAATAGTTTCTGATATTTGCTTCTTTTGAGAGTTTACTCTCATTCTTCATTTAGCCCCTAAGTCATCTGGAATTTCTGTCGCGTTAAGGTATGAAACAGAAGCCACCTTGACCTGTGCACTCTCTGCAGAGCTGTTCCGGTGCTCCCTGCTAACGCACGCTGCCTGCCCCCTTTACAGGCTACATCCCTACACACACAGATGCCTCGTGGGACCGGGTGCAGTGAGGCCTGCCTTCTAACCTGGGTTCCCTCGTCCACAAGGTATGGCTATGACCAGCACTTCCTCCTGAGAGCGCAGGGAGCTCGAGACCCCCCAGGAATGCTCAGGGGACGTGGGCCACCTTGCAGAGAAACCCCTCCTAGCGGCAAGAGAGCACAGAACGAGACGCTCTGGTACTGACCGCGGCTGGGCGACAGCAGGCCACTCGGGTAGGGGACGCTCACTCTCCTCAGCTCGTCCAGCTTCTCCTGGAGCTTCCGCACTTGGCTGTCGGAGCGGCTGACCCTCTGCCGCAGGCTCTTCAGCTCCCCGTTCTTCTTCTCCACCTGCTCCCGCAGGCAGCACACCTGGCTCTTGTTCTGCCGGGAGGAGAAGCAATAGGAGTGCAGTGAGTCGATGAGCTTGCAGGCCCCCGACGCCGACAGGATGACCTCGTTGATGGACATGGGGCTGGCGTCGCTATGCTGGCTCTGCACGGCTTCCGTTGCTGGCTTCGGGGTGACGTCGGCAGGAGGGGCGGAGGGGCTCTGGGAAGGCTTCTGCGGTGTCGCGGTGAGTGACGAGCCGGGGGGACTCTGGGCCAGGCCCTTGTCGGGCCCCAAGCTGCTCCCACTGCAGCTCGGCTCCACATCTCTCTTCGGCCTCTTCCGGTCAATGGGCTCTCGTGGCACAGACGGCCTTTCTCGAGCGTGCTTGGAGGAGAAACTGTATGAATGAAGCGAGCCGATAAATTTGCACGCACCAGATCCTGGGGGCGTAAAGTCCTCCACGGAAATGCCACTCTTATCTGCCACACCCCCTTCGACGGAGGAGGTGGGGCTCTCCTTGCCAGCATCTGTGGCAGACACTTCTGCTTTTCCCTGGCTGCCTGCCACCGTGGTGGCCCGTCCGTCTCCTGGAGTTCGTTCCAGGGCTTGCTGGGCCTGCTCCTGGCTGGCAGCCTCCCGGGCCGCCCTGGGTGCGGCTTCACCCTGCAGAGCAGCTCGCTTCAACCTACGGGACTCTGGCTTGGCCATCGGGTTTCCACTTGAGGATGGTGACCAACCCGCTCCTCTGCCAGTGGCAGCAGTCGAGTGTCCCCTCACGCCCCCTGTGGCCTTGCTGGCATCTTTTCTCCGGGTGCGGCCATGGCCTCCAGCCCCCCTCTTCTTCTCGGTCAGGTGGAAGATGGATGGCACAGCCGTGGGCTTCAGCAGGCGGTGCTGGTCCTCCAGCCTCTTGGAGAAGCTGTCTTTGGTGAAATGCTCACTACAGAGAAATGAATACTTAGTGGGAGTCCAGTTATCCCTCTGAACAGCTTTTAACCATTGGATTAGACGTTTTGAGTCCTTCAGGGGGAACCTACAAGACAAACGGCAAAGTAGTTAGAAATAATGTCTCCCTTTAAAATGATCAACTGTAAAAGTAAAACACTCAAAGCTGTACTGATTTCACCCATTTAAAAAAATACTTCAATGCTGATTGGACCTCATGAAAAGAAAAAATTATTACAATTGTTTTACAAAAAGAAAAAAACTACTTCAAAAAGATTTAAGGAACATCTTCTACCTGCAATTATTACTGGAGTAGAAATCTGAAAGACCCACTGTCCAGCCTTAAGGAGCTTACAGTCTGCAGGGCAGATGGGAATGAAGGTAACTAACTCCTCCCAGGCTGTGGTACATGCCCGATGGGGACATAGGATGCAAGAGACAGGTCTACGATGGCCTCGGGACAGCAGGAAATAGCCCCTAGAAGCTGACTGCTAGCCAACCCTCCGACCTGCCTGGAAGGTAAGACTTTGGGTGCTAAAGCCAGGGCCAGCTTCTACAGAGATGGGAACGTGAGAGGTCAGGACAGCACAGAGGCAGCCTTAGCTGTGCGCAAGCAGCTGAGAATGTGGAGCCCTCCAGAAGACTCCAGAGCTGCGGTTCTGTGGTCCTGCTGCATGTCCACCTCCAGGAGTAAAAATGCTCCTTATAAAAGTTGGCGAGCCCAGGGCAGGGCACAGTGATGCTCACCTGCAGTTCTAGCTACTGGGGAGACTGAGGCTTGAGAATTCTTTGAGTCCAGGAATTCGAAGTTACAGTGACCTAGGATTGCACCACTGCTCCCCAGGCTGGGCAACAGAGAGAGACCCCGTCCTCTCCCCTCAAAAAACTCAACCAACCCAGATGAACCTTGACGACAATATACTGAATGAAAAAGCCAGCTGTGGCTGGGTGCAGTGGCTCAAGTCTGTAATCCCAGCACTTTTGGAGGCGGAGGTGGGAGGATCACCTGAGGTCAGGAGTTCGAGACCAGCCTGGCCAACATGGTGAAGCCCTGTCTCTACTAAAAATACAAAAATTAGCCAGGCGAGGTGGCACTATACTCCTAGTTACTCGGGATGCTGAGGCGGGAGAAGCACTTGAGCCCAGGAGTCAGAGTTTGAAGCCAGCTGAGATTGCGCCACTGCACTCCAGCCTGAGTGACAGAGAGACTCTGTCTCCAAAAAAAAAGCCGGTTGCAAAAAGTCAAACACTGCATGGTACCACTCATATGAAGTACTTAATCAAATTCATAGAGACAGGAAAATGGGGGTTGCCAGAGCGTAAGGAGAGGAGGACTGGGGAGTTAGTGTTTCACGGGTGCAGGGATTTGGCTTTACAAAGTAAGAATAATTCTGGAGCTGGATGGTGACAACAACGTGAAAGTATTTACTGCTACAGACTGCACTGAAAAAGGGTTAGGAACGGCTGGGAGCCGCAGCTCGTGCCTGTGATCACAGGTACTCTGGAGGCTGAGGTGGGAGTTTCGCTTGGGTCCAGGAGGTTGATCACACCAATGCACTCCAGCCTGGGTGACAGAGTAGGGCTCTGTCTCCAAAAAGAGTTAGGATGGTAAATTTCATGTTATGTGTATTATACCATAATTTAAAATTTGGGGAAAAAAACAAGCAGCACTGGAAGATACTGAATAGGATACTTAGTCATTTCTTCTTTATTACCTAATAAAGATTCTTCATAACTATTTCTTCATTAAGGCAAGTTCTGTGTTTAAGAAAACAGGCCTGGCCGGGCACGGTGGCTCACGCCTGTAATCCAGCACTACTGGGAGGCTGAGGTGGGCGGATCACTTGAGGTCAGAAGTTCAAGACCAATATGGCGAAACCCTGTCTCTACTAAAAATACAAAAAATTAGACCGTGGTGACACGTGCCTGTAATCCCAGTTACTTGAGAGACTGAAGCAGGGGAATCGTTTGAACCTACAAGGTGGAAGTTGTGGTGAGCCAAGATCGCACCACTGCACTCCAGCCTGGGTGACAGAGACTCCATCTCAAAAAAAATAAAAAATAAAAAATAAAAAAAACACGCCCAAATGTGCACATGAGGGGTGGAGAGATCAGTTCTAACTCCTATTTGCTCCACCTGAGGCCAGTGTGGACCAGGACAAACCCTAACAGGATGAACTGGGGCATACGAAGCAACAGGACCTTCTAACCGCCTTTCTGAACGCTTTGTGAGGCCAACTCCAAAGACAGGCCCCTCACCCCCAATTTCGCTGCCCTTTCCCCTATACCATGTTAGACCGTTGCAACACGTCGCCTCCTTTTCAAGAACAGTAACAAAACTTCTAGGACACAAGCTCTGAAAGAAATTGTCAAGAAAGCGTGCTGGCTGCTTGTGAAGAAATCTAACGTTACCAATTCTTCTGATACACTGTAATGATTGCAGATGTACAGCGAACACCGTGAACTTTCAATAACACTATAAATAACACGTGCCATTCCCGTCTTTAAAACTTAACACAACGCAGCATAAAAAAGCAACATCTGCAAAGTGGTTTTTAAAGTCTGTTCCCTGTTCTGGTGCCTCCCGCGTGTAATCCGCATAAATCTCACTGAAATGGGCTGAACCCACAAGGCCTGAAGGGGGTTTGGGCCCTGCCGCGGGGGCCCACGTGGGAAGTGGCCGAGAGCCCCGGGCCAGGCGCCCCCGGGCGCGGAAGAACGCGGTCCCCGGCCGGCCGCCCGGGGCTCTCAGAGCGGACCCGCGTCCCGGAAAGCCCTCCCGGGGGCTGCCAGCCTGCCGCGCCGCTCCCGCTCGCAGACATCGAGGCCGGCCGCCCGCGGTCCCGAGAGGCAGCAGTCGCGGCCCCGGTCCAGCTTCTAGAACGTGCGGCGTCTGAAGCCCCGGCGCCGGCCGGATCCATCGCGCGCAGGGCGGACCCGGGCGGCCGGGGTGGGGGCGGCCGCGCTGCCCGAACCCGGCCCAGAGACGGCGGCCGGGCCAAGGTCACACAGCGCCCGCGACCCCGCCCCGCGCCCCGGCCGCCAAGGCCCGCGCCCCCCGGCCCCTGCGCTCGGGCCGGCCGCGCGGCCTCAGTTTCCCCGTGGGGCCGGGGCGGGGGCGTGGCGGCCCGGGGCCCGCGTACCTGTGGAAGGAGACGGCGCGCTTCTCGCCCTTGCCCTGCCGGTTGGAGCAGTTCACGGCCGCACAGCAGATCACCATCTCGGGCCTCGGCCCAGCCGCGCCGCCAGGCCCCGGCCCTCGCCGCCCGCCCGCCCGCGGACCGCCCCGAGGGAGGGAGCGCGGCGGCGACACGGCTCGGGACGTGGGCCGGCCCGCGGCGTCCGCGCCGTACGGCAAGATGGCGGCTCAGCGCCCGTCGCGGTCCCGCCCCCGCCCCCCACCGCGCCCTCTCCCGCCGCGCGCTCGGGCGTCTTCGGGACCAGCGGGGGGCAAGCGGACCCTCGCAGCGTCGGCCGGCAGGCGGGCAGGCGGGCGGGGGAGTTGCCCGGGCTCGGCAACTCCGTACGGCGACATGGGCGCGCCGGGCAGGTCCGTACTACAAGATGGCTGCTCGGACGGGTAACCAGCCCGCCTCTACCGCCTCGACAACTGCTCCTGGGTCTTCTAAGAGGAGAAAGCGCTACCCATGGCACGCAGTGTCCCGTCGGAGAGCAGAGCGAGCCATCGTCCCGCGACACGTCCCCACGCCACCCACGGGGCACCCCGGGGCTCGCGTCCGCCCGGCCGTACGCCAAAATGGCGGCTCCCGCGTATTTCCGGTCGCGCGCCGTATCATCTTCGCCGCCTGCGCCCGCGCCCCGATTGGCCCCCGCGGCGTCCCGTCGCCGCGTCGCGCTGCGGGCCCGTCGGAGCGACGCCGCTCAGGTCAGTAGGCGGCCGGACAGGAAAGATGGACGCAGGTGAGAAGTTGCCGGGGGCCGGCCTTTCCGCGGGAGATGATGTTCGTCTTGCCCTCGGCCTCCCCTCCTCGGGCGAAGCTGCCGCGACTCGCCCTGGGGCACGCCAGGGCGGGTCAGGCTGGGCCAGAGCGACGGGTGCGGGCGCTGCGGGAGCGTGGGGCGATGTTGGGCGGTGGGCGGTGGGCGCGGAGGGGGACGGCGCCGCAGATCCGGCCGTCGGTCGCGCTGGAGCTTTTTGCTGCTTTTCGTTTCCGTCCGGAACGCTCCGGAGGTTGTGGCTGCACAGGCCGTTGCGCCAGGTCGGCCGTGGAGGGCGGCGGGGCCTGCCGGGCGGGCAGAAGCGCGGTGGCGGACGGGGCGGCCGCGGTCCGGGCGGGGACGCGAGCGGCGGGTGAAAGCGTAGCCTTCCCGCAGCTGAGCGTGAAGGGGTGGAAACTCTCTAACTTTTATGAAGTTACTGGTTGGCTGGAGGCGAGAAACATGCCGCGTACATCGCAGTATACGCATCGTTTTTGTTTTTGTCTTCCATTTAGTAACCAGTAGATCCTCCAGGCTTCTTTTCCGTGACGAGAAAGAGAAACAGCAAATTTGTCTCATCGGTCTTAGTTTCTTGGGGTCCTAAGAGAGAGGGGGTAGAGAGAGAGAGAGAGGGAGGGAGGGAGGGAGTGTGTGTGTATGTGTGGAGTGTTGGTGTTTTTGCCTATCCTGTTATGCTTGGCAAGATATATTAAGTCAGTACGAAACCCATCGCTTCCCCAGTAGCGGTCTAGCTTTAGTCCTGTCATCCTTTGTGGGAACTGATTTGCCTTCTATCAAGTGTCCCCCGTCTGTAAAGGAAGATTTTCATCTGGTTTAATTCTGTCATTCTGAAAGGCATTGTTTTTATTTTTCCTGCCAGCTACAACGTAAATTTACCAAGATCTGAGTTGGAAAACTCTAATGTGTGTGGCCAATATCTATTTAAATGGTCTGTAGCAGCTCACCGCGTAAATATGTTAGGTGGCTGGAGGAAGCTGGAGCCCTGACTCCCTAAGAAGCATGTTGACCAGGTGTAGATCTTGTGAAGTTTGTTTTTAAAATAACTGTCAGACACAGTTGTGCTATTTACAGCTGTGTACTATTTGTTTACTTTTTTTACTGTTGTTATTTGCGATGCAGGATTTTTATCAGCCACTTTGCCAGCTAGAGACCTCCGGCTGGTGATAGCCTGCCTAGGCCTTGCTTGGGTCCAGGCTTGCCGCAGGAGATGCCCTGTCTACTTGACCCGCCCGGTGGCACCTGGTTTGCACTCTGGCATGGATGCCATGGCCGCCATGACTCCATGCTCAGCACCTGGCCTGAGTGGGTGTGAGAGTGAGTGAGTGCAGGGTCCTGCCAGCTGTTCCAAGCACCAGCAACCGAGTGTGGGCTCTGCAGAGCTTACAGCTGGACATGTGGCAAGCAACTCTCCCAGTGGACTCCAGCGTCCAGACGAGGGGACGGTAGATTCCAGTGTCCAGACAGGGGGAAGGCAATGGCATCCATGTAGGGGTGCTTGCAACCCTGAAGCCCAAGAAGAGGGGATGTTATGGTGTGTCAACAGCTGTGTCACACCCATTGCCCTGTCCCAGCCTATAGTTCTGGGGCTGCCTCTGCCCTGATGCTGCTTCCCATTGCTGCTTCCTGTCATGTGGGGCAGCTGCCATTTGCCAGCAGAGGGCAGAGGGCCACAGTGTTACAGCCTTCTTTGTACCTGCATGTATTGGGTCCCTAGTTCTTGTCCCACATCCAAGAAGAATGAGATTATGCTGGCAATTGAAGGGTAAAGAGGGTGGAGAATAGTTTTATTGAGTGATGAAACAGCTCATAGCAGAGAGGGGACTCAGCGATGGTCTTCTACCCAGAGTTGAGTGGTCTCTCTTGGCGGCTGAGTCCAGGGCTTTTATGGGCCCAGAATGAGAAGTGTATGCCAATTGGTTTGTGGGTATGCAAAAAAGGCTAAAATAAAGTCATCACTCAAAGGTGGGGACAACAGTGTAATAAGCTAATTAAAGAAGGGTAGGTATGTGTAAAATAGGTGAAGGGTGGGGATTAATCAGAGGAAAGTGCAACCAAACAGGAAGAGAGATTCTCTCTTTTTTAAAAAAATTATTTTTTAAACGGAAGGGCAGGAGAGAAAGGGAGGGAAACGGAATGAAGGGAAAGAGAGGAAACAAGCAAGAGAGATTCTAAATCCAGTCCTTGGATTTATCTGAGACTCGTAGATTGGCTTTCAGGCTTTAGCTTTAAAGTGTGGCATGAAGGTTGGGTTTCACTGGTTCCTGCCCCTGTCTGCCTAGTGTTTGTCTGCCTCCTGCCTCCATCATTTGGATACCTTGAGGCTGGAGTATTATGTGAGAGACTTGGTTAAGGTCAAATACACAGTTTAGTGTCAGTCATATGACTTAAAATGTGAAAATCATCAAGTTAGGAGAACAGTTATGTTCTTACATGATGTTACTTTGTTTTTATCTCTTATTTTTCCTTGACAACCAAATTGACATGATGATACGGACACTGGATGCTGCTGCTTGTGGGATCAAAATAGAAAAGGTGTTTGCATTTAAAGGTCTCTGTTCATGCTGATAAAAACTTATATGATGTTTGTAGGATATCATGGGGACTTTTCCTTCTAAGCTGATGCTGTATTTCCTTTCAGGGATGATTAATGATCCACTCTGGCCAGGTGCGGTGGCTCACACCAACACTTTGGGAGGCTGAGGTGGGTGGATCACGAGGTCAGGAGATTGAGACCATCCTAGCCAACATGGTGAAACCCTGTTTCTACTAAAAATACAAAAATGAGCCAGGCATGGTGGTGGGCACCTGTAGTCCCAGCTACTCAGGGGGCTGAGACAGGAGAATCACTTGAACCCAGGAGGCAGAGGTTGCAGTGAGCCAAGATTGTGCCGTTGCACTCAAGCGTGGTGACAGAGCGAGACTGCGTTTCAAAAAAAAAAAAAGATCCACCCTCCTTTGATCTCTGGAGTTCTTGAAGATCCTGCCTTCCTCGACCATGTGTAATATAGTTTCTCTCTGTCCTGGTAGTCATTCATTCAATACGCTGTTTATTGCTCACTGCCAAGTATGTGTTAGGCATTGCTGTAGACACTAGGACCAGAGAAGTAAATAGCATGGATGAAAACCGCCGGAGGTAGCCGACGTTCTGGACGTGAGACCAGCATTAGCCCCAACGTCTGTGGCTGCTGGGGGACAGTGATTTGGACCAAGGATGACAGGATGAGGAGAACTGAAATTGTAGTCAGGATGGCCAGGAAAGCTGTCACTCTGAAGGTGCAGTTCTGACCAAGACCAAAGAGCCGTGTAGGAGGAAGGGCGAGTAGCAAGAGCCTGGTGTGGCTTGGGGGCAGCGGGTGGCGGCGAGAGAGGCAGGAGCTGAGGCTAGAGAGGTGACTTGGGCTCAGTGGTGGTGCCTTGCTAGGTCGTAGTGAGTACTTAAGGGTTTATTCTGAATAGGATGGCAACCCTTCGGAAGGTTTTGTTCCAGGGGAGGAGTAACATGATAGGCTGTGTTTAACAGCCTTGCTCTGGCATCTCTTTTGAGAATATACTGCCGGAGGGGCAAGGCAGAGGCAGGGAGGCCAGCTAAGAGACTCTTGAACAAGCCAGCAAGGAGATGCCAGTGGCTTAGCTCCTGGTGGGTAAGAGGTGGACTTCTGCATGTGTTTTGAAGGTTGAGACAATAGAATCTGTTTACAGATTGGAAGTTGGGAGAGGGATGGGTAGGGAGGGAGGAGTTAAAGATGGCCCCACAGGGTATGGCCTGAGCCAAGAAACTCAGATGAAGAGGACTTGGGGAGGTCCTGTCTGGTGGAAAGCTTTCTGTCGTGAGTTTGGATTTATGTGTGTGAATGTGCGGTGCCTATTAGACATCCTTGTAGCAATGCCCAGCGGGCTTTTGGGTCTACAGGTTTGGAGCTAAAAGAATAAGCCTGGGCTGGGGATACACTGGAGGTCACATCAGATGAGGTCACCCAGGGTCTGAGTGTGGGTGAGAAAGAAAAGAGGCCAGGGGCCTCCGTGGGTGTGGGGAGGTCTGGAAGGTGGCAGGCAGGCAGGCCATGGTGTGGCTGTGTTCTCCGCCAGTCCCTAGCATTGACCCTAAAATCACACTCCCCACTCAGAGGACTGGCAGGTACAAGCGCTTAAATAGCTATGCTGCCCATTCCTTGAGGATAGAGCTGGTATCTTATGCTTGTGTTTCTAGTGCGTCACTTGTGTCTGGCGTGTGGTTGGTAATCAGAAAAGCGGAGCTTGAATTAATAATAACCTACACATTCACCTTCTATAAAAACATTCAGTTTGTGGAATTTAACATAAATCCAGTATGTTAGCATAACATGTAATGAATGCAAAGGCTGCTCACAGCAGGGTAGTGAGTTTTAATGTGCACGTTCTGCCCAGTGTGTGCACCAAAACCGTGTTTTCTAGTTTTCTGATGTAGCTGAATTTGGAGTTCTTTTCTCTCTTTTCCTCTTTTCA